GGAATCAGTTAACGTGAAACGTGAGAAGGACGTCTTCGCCGTTTTACCGACAGGCTGTTTGTTTCCACTCCTCCACCTGCCTTCTGTCATGCTTCCTACGTCACAGTCTGTTGCTCTCATTGGTCAGAGCGTTGGCCAATAGGCGCCGACATTTGAAAGACAACGGGTTGTCCTCTTCAACAATCTTCCGATGTCTCATTCATCTGGGCCAGAATAAATTACAAATTTAATCTCCCATTTAGTCTGGTTTATCCGGCTGCTATTCTCCTCCGCCAGCTGCACCGCCAACAGGCTGTGCTCCTCTGTACCAGCAGCCAATCAGAGTGAAGCTCTGACAGCTGAGTCCAGATTAATGTCAGCAGATGAAGCAGTAAAACAAGAAAAAAATGGAGGAAACTGAACAATAATTTTGATGCTTTTGGGAAAGTTACTGTCATGTATCTCAGGTTCATCGTCATGACAAACATTTCTTAATCTGGTTTCCCTGATCTATGGAAGATCTGTTGGTAGATCAGCACCTCTGGTTCCATCATTGCTGTATGACCCAGAGTAACCTGCTGCTCTCTGATGCCCCGCTGTGAAGAAATCTGGAGCGTTTCTCCGGGTTTTCCCGCATGTGTTAGGAACCAGAAAAGGGAAGTGGCTGTGATGAAATCAGCGGTTCTGAAACTGCTGCAGCTCTGCAGGAGGGGACCAAACCTGGATGTTTGATTGAATACTTTCTGTAATGCTAAGCACTTCTGGAGTCCCACTGAAGGCGTTAGTCGGTTGCAGGTTCTGGACGGTTCCTACACGTCGTTTTTTTAGGTTCAAAGGTTTGTTTCAGGAGGAAGTTGGTTCATTACGGGGAAACATCTCAGTTTAAGAATAGGTGTGAAAATGTCATCATGTTTATTTTCAGTTTGTTCTTCCTGTGGAAACAGGAAGTCATTGAGCCCGCTCAGGGCTGCTGCTTTAATCCCAGAGTGGTTTCTGTCAGCAGGGGGCGCTAAAGCTCATCTGGTTGCTTTCCTCTCTGGATTATTGGTAAAGATTCTGGAGGGTTTGATGATATGTCTGACCTGCTCTCCATGGTTCTGGGTTCTGACTTAAAATGTTATTTTTTTATTTTTTGGTTGAAATTCTTCAATAGTTCTGGTTTACATGCCTTGCTCAGTGGCTCACTGGTAGGTGACAGGGCAGGCTGGAATCAAACCCACGACCTGCTTCGGTTCTGCTTTAAATCTCGAGTTGACCTGATTTGTTTTGTTTTGGACCAGTTAGCCAGTTTTTTAACTGATTCCTGAACCAGTAAGGGTTTTGGTTTTGGACCAGTCCTCTGATTTGTTTGAACTGGGTTCTGCTGAGTCATTCTGCTTTGCTTTAAGAGTGTTTTAAGTTTTAAATAGTTTGATTTTGGAACCACGTTAAATCTTTAAATTGAAAATTGGGTTTAAATTAGGTTTTAAACCAGGTTTGGTTTGTTTTGTTTGGACTAAATGTAGACTGGGTTTGGTTCTGTTCGAACTGGTTATAGTTAGATTAGAGGACCAGTTATTATTATGTTATCGATTCATTGACTCTTCAGCAATCCCTCTCAATAAGCATGCTTGTAGCGACATTGGAGAGGACAAACTCCCTTTTAAC